AATTTGTTTAGTGTATAGTCAATCCCGAGGTACTTCGTTATTTTTCCAAATATGTGCCAGTAGGTTTGTTAGTAAGTCAATTAACTCTTCCGGGGCCTCCTTAAGTAGCTCGTTTTGTAAAAGGTCAATGCCCGGGGCGGAGTTTGCGCGTAGTTTTTGCACCGTCTGTATAGTAAAGCTTCGCTCTGGGGGGCTGGTTAGGGGTGTGTGGTCTGACGCTGGGCTTTTAAGTATGTGAGGAGCGTTGACGTCTAATTCCCCTTGCCCGAGTTCCTTTTCCCAGGTAGCGAGGGGGATATATGTAGTGTGCGCTTGATTACGTGTCCGTCTGAATTGTTTGATAAATTTGTATGTTTGCGAGATTCTTTTGGCGGGCTCGTAGTCATTTAAGTTGTTAAAAAAATTGTAGCATTTGGCAATTTTATTTTCGCGTAGTGCATTGTTTTTTTCTGCTATCGCGTTGCGTTTTGTTTGGGCCGTTTTTGTGTTCGGGTTTCGTCTGTGTTGTTCCGACGCCTTTTTTGACTTATCTAGTAATTTTTTGATGTTACTGGGGAGCGGTTCTGACGGTTTATTAAGAGTGAGGTTTGCCGCTACCTGTAGACTTTCTTTAATGATAGTCCATGTCTCTGATACGTTATTAAGTTCGGGATTGTGTGTTAGTAATATCTCTTTTACCGCGTTTTTGTAGTTAAGATTGTCAGTAGGGTCTTTTAAACGCTCAGTATACCATTTTGTCGGTTTTATTGTGGGGGACTGATAGTCTTTATCGTTTATGGCTGGCGTCTGTATCAGGTCGCAATAAAGTAATTTATGATCTGTCTTTATGTCGCGTGGCCAGGTAGCTTTGCAGGGTTTGTATAGAAACCCGGTAGTGCTGTTTCGAAGCATGTGGTCAATTTGCGATTCGGTTGCTTTGTTTCGCCATGTTGTTAGTATTGACTTGTATTTTGAAAAGGTGTTGTGAATATTTAGCTTGAACAGCTGAGCCAGGTTAATAAGCTCTTGCCCGTTTTCATTGGTTTCGCTGTGTATTAATTGCCTGCCTACCGTGTGTTTATCTTTGTCTGTGTGTAATGCTTTCCCTAGATGTGCGTTAAAGTCCCCTATAACTCCCATTGACCCTTTTTTGTTGTTTATGTCTATTTGTTTTGTTAACTCGCTGTATGTCTTCATGTTACGTTTGTCCGACGGAATGTGTGTGGATATTACGCAAAGTCTCTTTTTATTACAAGCCAGGACTATTGTTGCAATGCTGTCTGAGATGGGGTAGAATTTTGTCGTTTGGAGGGCCTTAGATCGTCTTAGGAGTATCGCTACTCCCCGTCGAGTCGAATTGTTTTCTCCTCCGCTTAAGTACCAGTCGTACGTGTTTGTTTTTGCGCGGCCGGTTGTCATGAATGTTTCTTGGAGTGCTATTTTGTCTAGGTTTAGTTGGGATAGTGTGTCATCGATTATTTCTCTCTTTTCTACTTGCCTACAGCCCCTTACGTTTAGTGTCCCTATTTTTAACTTGAGTTGTTGTGTACTACTGTCTAAACTTGTCGCCCCGTTTCCGGTCGATTGTGTTTGCGTGTATTCCCCGTTGCCGCAGGCTCTTATGTTGGTTATTTTTCCTACCTCTGTTAGGCAGGGCGCCGAGGCCTGTGTCCATGTTGGCCAGATGTGTATTATACTATCGTAGTGGTTGTAAGTTCCTGACCTGCCTAGTCTGTAACAAATTGCGATTGACCGGTTGCTATTATTATGTCTGAAGGATATCTTGTCAGTACGCCCCTGTTCGTGATGTATTTCGATTGCGACGTTAAATATGTCTGATGCTGCTATTATTGTTTCCAGACCCAGCCAGAAGCCGTTTTGTGCGTGGTCCTTTAAGTACGCCTCTGTTTTGCGTTCCCAGTCGTTAATATGCGCGTAGCGGTGGGGTTGGTCAAGGATCGCATCCTGTAAGTATGGGCTGTAAGTCTCAATGTGTGTTCGTAAGTGGTTATTTAGTCTTTGTCTTAATGCGTATGTATTTATTGACCCAGTCAGGCTATTATCTAGTTGATGGGCCAAGCTGGCCCTAAGCAATTTCCGTCGGATGGAATTTTAATTATTCCCACCGAATGATCGTTCGTGTTTACTATTTCCATGTTTGTTTGGTTTGTGTTTATTATTATTTATGTTTTGGCGTTTATTTATGGTATTAGTCAAGTGTTTATTTGGGGGATGGAGTCTTATCTGCCTTTTCTGTTTTGTTTATGTAATGATTTGTGTGGTCTGTCTCAATAGGAATGTTTAATTTCTGGTGCCAGCTGGGGAACTTAAAATTCCTTTTCGAAATATGATACGTTTTACTAGATTTTTTGGAATAAAATGGTTTGTTAATAAGACATGCAGTTAGAAAAATTACTTAGCTTGGTTATTCGGCTATAATCCTGATGCTCGGTCTTTCACGGTCTGTCCGATGTTTCTGGACCTCCCTGCAGGTTCTTGATAGGCTTTGGTTGTGACTATCCCTTCTGACCAGGTGGACCGGTTGGCCTTTATTACTTATTCAATTGCACTCTTTTACGGCTTTAATGGGAGATCTCCCACTCTTCACACTTGTTTCACTTTTTTTTTTTTGCACTTGTTGCACTCTTTTTGCACTTGTTGCCCTTATCACACTTTCCGCACTTGAATGTTTATTTATTTATTTATTACCGATTACCGATATTTCCGAATACTTAGGTTCGTTTTTGGAACTTTATTATATTTCTCTCGTATATGCTGCTAGGAGAGGTCTCTTTAACTACTTGACGCGTCTATCCACTTCGGATGTCAAGACGCAAGTGGTGTAACATATTATGTAACATATTATGTATTATTATGTAACATATTATGTATTAAAAATGTACTCCGTTTGTTTCCTCTCTAATCACATTTAATAAAAAATTGCTTGTAACAAACTCCTAATTAGTTAGTGCAGGGGTGCGTTCATAAAGGAAATCTGATTATAGGGTGTTTATCTCGTGTGTAATGTGAGTTTTGCGCGGAGTGTTCCTAGGGTGCTGGGTGGTTTTTGAACGCCTGACATTTCGATTGTCACAATTTGCATTTTTGACGTCAAAGTTAACCTCATGGAAGCAGCTATATTTTGTTCCAGTTTGGGCGTCCAAACATTATTTGAAATTCCAATTGCTTTTTCTGATGCAGACGACGAAAGTAGTAGCGATAACGATGAAGTTATGTTAATGGTTACTCGGAGTAGAAAGTTAAAGAAACCACTACGTATTCAAAACTATCTGACAACTATAAATTGTTTCATATAATATTCAATGCCCAACTTGGCTACCGCTACCGCTGCCTCTACCGTTACCTTTAGAACTATAAATACCGTACCGGAATCTATAAACAGTACCACGGTATTGTTGATCTTTTACGGCAGAAAGGAAGGAAATCTATAAATCAGGCTTTATGCTTAATTAAATTAATTAATCTGGATAGAATTAAGTTAATTTTGTCCAGATACTTGGATTAAAAATTATGTTACAATTATCGATTATGTTAAATATAATTTTCAAGCTTTATTTTTAGAAAAATTTATGTTACAATTCGATAATTATGTTACAAGTGGCAACACTGAAGTCGTGTGAAAAACGCCGGTGTTGTAGAAGCGGTAATTTTCGAACACTCCGAGTGTAGAACTAGGTATTTTATGAACGGTTACACAAAATGAACGACCTTGTGTGCTGGAGTTTACCCCGAGCGTTCTTTATGAACGCACTCCAGAAGATTATAACAATGATGTTATAATTTCATCTTAATAAACAGCCCCCATTGCTATAATCAGTCAACAATACACGAGCGTTGTCTGGGCACTTATGAATAGACCTTAACGCTGACGTCATATGGCATTGATGGCGTGCAGTGCACGCCGTGCACCCATGCAGGTTTGGCCGCGACTATAGTAGTTTACAGAAAATGCGTTTAAAAACCACATTTTTTTATTATTGTGATATTTAATCAATCAAAATTAATAAAAAAATGTGGTTTTTAAACGCATTTTCTATTATATTTATTATATTTTATGTTCCAAAAATTCGAAAATACCCCAAATAAGGACCACCCTATACATATATAATAACATATTAAGGTGGTCCATTTGTTTAAATTTTTTTTGACGATATATCGTTATATCGATATATCGCGATAGATCACGTCCTAGTTCAAAATAAATAAAAAATAATTCTTGCCAAGTTTCATCTCTTATTATTTTAATATTAAGAGATGAAACTTGGCAAGAATTGTTTTTTATTTATTTTGAACTAGGACTAGAACTATCGTCAAAAAAATTTTAAACAAAAGGACCACCTTAATATGTTATAATATATGTATAGGGTGGTCCTTATTTGGGGTATGTCGAATTTTTGGAATATATTGTATGAGATTGTATTGTAAATCGTTTAAAATTATTGTGATGTTTGATCAATCAAAATTAATAAAAAAATGTGGTTTTCTAACGCATTTTTTGTAAACTACTATAGTCGCGGCCAAATCTGTAAGGGTGTACGTGATAAACGGCATATGACGTCAGCGTAAGGTCTATTAAAATACACATTAACTTTGCCCCACGGCAGTCAAAATTTTCTGTTATTACCAAAGTTATAAAAATTTGATTTTAAAATATATGTGTTTTCCCATAAAAGATTTTGAAAATTTGTTTATTAATCATTGATGAAAAAAATTGTAGACCTTTGTTTGCTTACTTCTAGACCCAAAGATTTTTTTTTAATTGTCTGTTATTTAATCTAGTTAAATTAGGGTATTTTTTGGAAACGTAGAAAAAGTAAAGTCTGAAACACATTTGGAATAGCCTATTCCGCTCTCGTAAAACCGACATACTTGCCTTCGGCTCGCATGACAAACTTTTCACTCGAGCGGAATATGCCGTATTCCAATCTTGTTGCAGAATATACTATTCCGGTAATATTTAAAATAATTTATAATTTTATCTTTTTAACGTATTGTTTTAGGATACCTATAATTACGGCTGTCAACTGCTTAATGCGTCGCTAGTTTTGCGACAATCCTGCAAACTGCCTTTAGAAGAACATGCAAATTTATATCAAACACTTAAAACCTGCTGGCAAAGTCTTCTTACCGTTAGTCAAGAACAAATGACGAGATTTCGAGTTTCTGCGGTTTTTCATAGATCCGTGGAAGATCAGTGTAACCAACTGAGGGATTTAAGAGAAGCTGTCGCTACAATACCTTTAATGGACTTGGGCAAGAAAAAAACGAGGGTTAGTCATTATTTCAGCTGCAGGGAAAAACTGCTTGTGGAAGTTGGCAGGATGGTTCGATTGGGAAGACTGTTAAGAAGTAGACTAAGGGAACCACTTTTTATTATTAAACAGTAAGTATTTTTTATGATCTTGTGCTAAAATAAGTTGGCATGCCACAGTAAACTAAAACAGAATGCAATTGTGAATATATCTTCAAAAATATTCATTCGCAGTTCTTAAATACATTTAGGACCACATGATCAATCGGATTCAGATCTTCGCTAGGCGGGGGCCAGTTTAATTATTAAATCTTCATTTAAGGTTGCATATTTTCAAGATGGTCATACAGATCTAGTGTTTTAAATATTTACTATAACATCAAAGAATAAATCAGATAAAACAACATTTTATTTATAAAGTTTTGGTGTCTAGGAGTGTATATTTGGATCATAAAATTTATACACTAGTTACACATAATAGTTAAACGTGCCAAATAGAGTTCAACTAAACCTATTCATAAACGAAATAAAACAAGTAAAACCATCTGAAAGATGGATTTCTCACCTAAAGTACATGTCTGAGTTCGTATACTTTTGAATCTAATTTTGAATTCGTTTGTGGTGGGGCATAAAGTCGCGTCAGTGGCGGGCGTACCGGTCCAAGTTAAACACCAACATCGACGCATGTAAGTAAAAATTAAACACATTTTTCTGCCAATTATACTTAAAATTACTTTGAATTTGTGAGAAAAATACCAATAAGTTTGAGTTTTAACAAAAATTAGTTAGTTTTGGCAACGATTAACCTAAAATTTAAAAATGCCGGTTGTTTATTGTTTTGCCTATAGTTTTGTTTAAATTCCATAAGAGAAAATATTTTTTTATCAATAATTAAAGATTAATAATTATTAATAGATTTGGTTTAATATTGTATTCAATTAATTAAACGTTTAAAATACTGGTAGTATTTTTTATTCTAATCATACATATGTATATTTGTAAAGTAAAAATAGGATAAGTCAAACTTTCTGACATCCTCCTTTATTTATAGAATTAACATTAACAAATTTAATTAACATTACCAAATCATCTAATTATAATTTAAAAATGTAGCAAAACAAATTGAATGAGAATGGCTGAAAATAATATTGGATTTAAAAATAAATAAGACTTACTGCAGTATTCTAAAATTAAATCACAAAATTATATGAAAGATGTTTTACGTTAAAATGTTACTTATTTACTATCAACAGTGTTTTAAAAATATTTATAAAATTTATGGGTTAATTCTTTTCCACCACCCACAACTTTCCGCAATATTTTAAATTTTATTTAAATTGTTTGTTTTTAAATTATAAATATTTAATATTTATTAAAAGTTTTGTAAAAAGCTTTATGGAATTCAGTATTTAACATATTTGTTTAATAGTTGTAGTAAATGTTAATGCAAGGTGTCTTAGAATAAAATGCGCAATTTATTTTAAATTCATAAAAACTATTTTCCAGAAAATACTAAGCAAAATACTTTAAATTATTTCCTAAAAATAAATTATGAATTGGTTAGTGGAGGACTTTACAGGATGTGTAAAAAATAGCAGAAATTTTCGTTTTTCGGTTTTTTATTAGTCAGATTAACACCATTATTTGTTGTTCTGTTAAAAACATGTCTAAAAAGTATATGCAAATTTGTAGCCTTATTGGATGTTTAGTCTATTTTATTTGTTTTAGTACGATCAGCTTTGTTTTATTTGTTAATTAACTAGATTGCATTTAATTTTGCAGTAAGAATGTAATAAAGTATAGTGTTGTTTTATAATTGTTAATTATTGATTTTGGTGAGTAAAACTTACGAGTTGTATAAGCGTTTTCAAAATGGCCGTAAAGACGTTAAAAATGACAGCTAATGGACATGTGAACAATAATAATAATCGCGCCTACGATGAAATGTTTGTTCTTTATTTCTCAAAAAAAAAAGAAATAAAGCCAAAAAATAAGTCATATTATTCTCAATTTAACTATGAACTCTTAATCCTTCTGATAACATCGGTTTTACCTCACTATAATCCCTAATCACACATCATGTTCATGATTTTTTTAAACACCGTACTGATGGCTGTGATTTTTTTGTTTTCTTTGACGCCAGCCTAAGTTTGTAGATTATTCTTTTAAATTTTAATAAAATTTGGGCTTTGTTCCTCATGACATACGTATAGTTGTATGAGATAGTGGGAAAAATAAGTGACTTTTTTACCCAGGAGGACAAGATTGGATTAACTGTATTTGTTATTTTATAAATAAAATAGGATTTCTTATAATGTAGGTATTTAAATTATATTTAAAGGATATATGTGTGCACGTGAAATTTGTCCAATGGTGGTTAAGGCCACTGGACCTTAATACTGGTCAGTTGTAGTCTATTTGACTTGAGACAAAATAATATATTTTTTTTAAATTTCTAAAAAATAAGGCTTAAAATTGTGTATTTTTTTATTTGAAACACGTTAAAATAGCAAATAAATAATAATGATATAATAATATTTTAACTGAACTCAAAGGAATTCCTCCATGCTTAACATAGTTTTGGCAGCGCACTAGCAATTAATTTATAATCTCTAAGTGCAATTTAATTTTAAATTTATATTTTTTGTTATAGATTGCCAGATTTAGAGGAGGATCCCTTCGATTCTGCAGACGACAATGAAATAGCAGTTGAGGCGATATCAGAAAGATTAGCAGAAGTGACTGGTTTAGCGGAAGAACTAGATCAAACTTTACAAAGTGCACAACAAGACTGTTCTATTCTTAGTAATTATAGCGAGGAAATTTGCAATCCGGAAAGCATAAGCAACACTATATTTCTGAAGAAGATCATGGAGAATCAGCCAACAACATCTGATGTAAGTAAAGTGATAAAAGCAAATGAATTGAATATATTATATTGATTTCTTAACATTTAATATATTTATGCCATATTTTTTTTAACAATAACAGTTTGTTAAAAAAGAGAACGCAAGGCATTAGTCAAAAAGAACACTAGTGGTCTAAAGGATTAGTGTCACTAATTTCAGAATTACCAATTTTAGTCACAGTTTTATGTGCCTTTAAGAGAGATAGGATTTCTGCATTAGGTAACAGGAAAGTACTTTCCTTTTAACTTAAATACGTGAAAATTACTTGAAGAACAAGTAGGTATGTCTACTCTCTTAAAATAAATTCAAAAATGACCAATTGTCATAGCGAAAAAGCAGCCATCAATAACTGCAGTCCACATCAATTTGTATCCCGGACATTTAACAGTCGATTCCTGTATAAAATTGTTTGCTGAATTAAAAAATGCCATCAAAAGTTATGAAGTGGTACAGATTTTGAGATATGGTTATTTTTTTCATATAATATGGAATTGACTATATCTTAAAAACTGCTCTACTTTCATAACTTTTGACGGTATTTTTTGATTCAGGGGACAATTTTACATAATGGTTGGCTGTTAAAGCGGACAATATTTCATTGGAATTTACTGTAAAATGCCCGATATACAAATTGATGTGGACTACAGTTATTAGTGGCTGCTTTATGCTCTATGACAATAAGTCAATTTTTTATATTTTTTTCGTGGTTTTAAGAAAGGTCATCTTGGATACGTAAACAAACACTTAAATCCTAATCACATTTTATGAAAATTCCTCCTTCAAAAATAGTCAGTGCCTAGATAGGTAGTTATGTAAACGAAACAAAAAAATAAATTAGAAAGATAAACAAATATATAAAGAAAGTATCAAGGTTACAAAATAGTATATTATGTATCAAGTTTGATAAACGCCATTTTATACACGAATTTAATTTAGGCACGAGCGAGCTTGCGAGCGAGTGCTTAAATTAATGAGTGTATAGAAAAGTTTATAAACGAGGTGCATACTATACTTTTTGTACGACAAATACTTATTATTATCTTAAAATTATTTAAATCAAAAATTTGTATAGAGCGCCATCTATGAAACAATAGGGGAAACTGTGTGTAACCGTCAAATGTCACATTTTTTTATTTTATAAACACAATTATAAAGGTTATAAATCGAAATGTTTTTCACAGTGAAAGTAAAGAAAATGTTTTATGAGGACTTTACAGTTGAGTCCGTGCCCAAATTTAAGTTATAGTTTACTGCCGGCGAAATTAAAAGGTCTGTACAATGTTCATATAAACTTTTTAAATATTGGCGTTGAGAAACAATACTTTTGTATTTTTGTATTGAGATAATAAAATAATTTTCACATTTTGTATTATTTTACAAGAAAGGCACTTTATTTTAACGATTTTATGACATTTGACAACTGTCAACTAACTTAAAACTAACTTCAGCCCGTGACTAAAAACCTGTTGCTAACTTCAGCCCGTGACTAAAGCGCCATAAAGCCACAACTTGTCAATGTGTATTTAAAAGGTCACTTAGTGTCATGGAAACATTATCGTACAAGGGCGTTTTAAAGGTGGGAGTAAAAAAAATAGTTTAAATATAAAAACCAGCTTTAAATTCGGCGATACGATATTTGGAAACATTACAACTACTTTCCTGTCCTTTAAAAAGAAAACCTCTCTAAAATAAAAATGTATCCAAAGTTATTTTCTATGTTTGTTTTCCTATATCCTGAAAATATACTAAATCAGTTTTGGATTGGTTTGTATATTAAGTGCTAGGGGAGCACAATTCATTAATAAAAAAATATTAACAAAAATTTGTATGTACCTTAGAGTGGTCCATTTTTTTTGGAGACAGCCATAATAATCTGACTATAATTTATTTTAACCACTTTGACCCTGCTAAATCGGAATTTTATGTAATATTCTTAAGGGTGTCCGTTTTTTTACTTGGGTTTCCTCTAACTTATTTGTCTAAAAACAATTGTCCCTGACTAAATGAAATTTTATTGACATAATAAAAAATCATAACTTACTAATAAATACATGCAACAGTTTACACGAGTTCATACTATCCTGATACATAAACCGGTTAAAACCTTCACACATCAACGTCACGTACATCTGCGACTTCATACTTTCCTAACAGTTACGGGCGTTTAAAAGCATTTCATATTTTCCGAGCCACGGTGTTAAACTTCCGTTGCATGCTAAAATTTGACTAAAAAAACGATATTTTTATAATTGGCATAAAAAGTATAAATTATTAAAATTTAAGATTTTTTTTTATTCCTATGTACTATCGGGGTAATTATTATCTTTCCACTATCGGTCTTATTTGGTTTAAAACAGATTTCACTGGCCACGCCTCGGGGTATTTATTGTCTTTCCACTAGCTTTTTATTTCACTTTATGTTTTTTATAATATTTATAAATTGTTTTTACCATGGCATATGTATTTTTCATAGTTTATATTATGAAAATAAAAAAAATATATAATTTAACTTTTACGTTTTTAAATAAATTATCAAAATTGGCTAATAATAAGATTTGTTTTCGGAGAGCAGAAAAATATAAAGAAAAAAAATAAAAAGCTGCTTATTGTCCTGAACATATAATAATTATAATGATAATTAATATTAACGACCATAACAATAATTGTTATACTAAAAGTTACTAAAAATAAATACTTAATAGTGACAATACAATTATTTCATTAATACGTTGTCATTTCACCTCCTGCAGCTATAACCGCATCACATCGGGACCTCACTGACAATACCAAATTGTGACATATTTGGGTGCCTCTCAAACTCGAATGCAGTGATTTTGCAATGCATCCCCGGTTCTTTTATTTTCATTTTCCCAGATGTTTGCCCTTTTGCCCCATAGATTTTCTATGGGATTTAAGTTTGAGGAAATACTTATTATGGCATACGGAAAATATCCTGGTTTTCGTCAAACCAGGATTTCACCACTTGATCCCGATGAATGGGGGCATTATCTTGGAAAAAAATTATCTGCGGGACTTCTTCACGTGTATACATAATCCGGACCGAAGGTGCTGCTTTAAATTCCTCAGTCAAAGCTATTTTTATGGCAGGAAGGGATACCAGCTCTATGAAGGGTAATTAAGATACCAGCTCTGTAAAGAGTATAAAGATTGACCAATGGTTCTCCTTGAATCGTTTGAGGGCACCCACCTTCTGGACTATTATAATAATTATTGATGTTTCCATCGTTGTTATATATATTTATCCACAACCTCAAAGTTGGCCTCTATAATTAAATTTTAATAATAAAATATGCTATGTTTTCTGCAATTGAGTAATAGAAAAATCCCGGCTCTTAAGCATAAGAATTTGGTTTTTTTCTTGTGTTGATAATTTCGGCATTAAAAGGTTTTTAAAAAACTCGTTAATACTATGATACCTAACTATGGCGTTATGGTGGATTAACAAAACAAAATATATACCTTAACAAATGTAAATTATTTACCTTAAATTATAAAATATAATTAAATCCCCTTGTAAAAACCCAGTTTTATTTTAATAATACATAAAAATGCCGGGTAAAATGGTAAAAAAGTTATTATTATTATAATTAAATAATTTTATTAATAAATGGTATACATAAATAGTAAAAGGGGCGTGATCACACGTGACCATCGAAATTTCGAGCTTAACTACAAAAAATATGCTGCAAAAACGTCTCCTATAAAATTTTTGGACTCGTTTTCTCAAAAAGCGCCATTTAGTATATTCTGTACTCTCTAAAAATGAAACAGTGGATTTTCACTGATTGACAGTGCATATTAACTATTTGCCGCAGTTATAAGTATACACTGAGAGAAAAAGTGTAGTTTATAGTTAACAAATCTTTATTTGGATAGCATTTATTTACTAGAAATAAAGTAAATTTATTGTTAATCAACCTTTTTAACTATTAATAATCTGCGTAATATATTTTATTTAGCAGAAACAAATACTTTGTTTGTTGCCCATATGTTTATTATTAATAATGCAAATTTGGGAATAATAAATACCTATTTGCTTAGGCGATCTTTAAAAGTTATTTATTATAAATTTCGAATTTATTTTTAGGTAGGAATCAATATTAACAATGAATAAATATTTATTTCTTGTTTACTGTACTCAAACTTCTGTCAAAACGCACCAAAACAGCATAGACGTTTCTCGAATAGTGCATGGTGTACCGCGTGCGTATGGTGTACCACTTGCCTTGCCAAGTTTACTGATTCTGTTCTGTGTACTGTTAAGTTTAGTGATTCTGTTCTTTGCACTGTTATTTATTTTGTATCTATGCATCAGTGTTTCGTTTGCAATCTTTTTGTAATAGCATTAATTTAAATTGTACCTATAGTGCCAGTGTAAAATACCGGCTCTTTCCTGTGTGCCGGCTAGTGTATCTTTGCGATTATTAAAAAATCCAAACATGCATGGAAGATCTGCAAACCATGGACGAGCTATACAAATTTTTAGGAAGCAATGGATTCAACGACTTGCTGGATACATTTATAGTGAATTAAAGTATAGGGTTTACAAATAAAGTTTTATGTCTTCTAAATATTTTAGTATTTATTATAAACAAGCATTTATTTATCACAAATAAAACACATTTATTATAAATTAATCTTTATTTATTATAAACAAGCATTTATTTATTAACAAAAAAACATATTTATTATAAATTATTCTTTATTTTTTAATAAAAAGATTTATTTAAACAATTTTAATCAATGCGTTGTTTGTCCTAAATAAATGTTTATTCCGCCATAATCGAATAAAGCATTTATTAGTTATTGATAAATCTAGTTAATTGTTAATAAACTGTTCTCTCAGTGTACCACTAGCAATAATGAATACTCACTTTTTCATGTAGCGATTTCTTTGCACTAATTTATTTAGTGGAAATTACACTGTACAAATTAGTGAAATAAGTTTAGTTCAAAAAATTTAAAATTTCACTATTTTATGTCAAGAGTTCCGGAAAAGTAGTGATAATAAAAAACACTAATTTGGAGAAGTTAAAATTTCACTAATTTATATTGAAAAACACTAATTTTACAGTGAATAATAACTCACTGACGGAAATAGTGAAAATTTCACTGTTTCACTTTTAGAGAGTAGAACAAGATCTTATTCAGAAATTTTAAAAAAATAATTAGAATTAGAAATTTCTTGAATTGTATTCTTTTTACAAACATTTGAAACATATTTTTTTTGTTGTACAATTCAGAACAATCATAACATTATTAGGTATATTGAAATAAAAAATACTTTTCTTTTATTCCAGACAAATTTAAATTTTGAATGAAAATCGGATGAATGAGCCATATATTTTTGCAAATGTCTTTGTTGTTACTGTAAAAATATTAGCGATTGTATTGTCGACAATGGTATTCTTAAACTGTTAAGTGTGGTTTGTTTTGTAAAGCAAAATCTTTTTTGTAACGATGACTTGTTTTATTGCGAAATAAAATTAAATAACAAATACAACATAGGTAGCGCAGTCAGTGACAATCGACATCAATGTACAGACGAAATAATACTGAATCTAATTTCCGCCGCCGCTGCTAAGTCCTCCAATACCTCCACCGTGGATTCCGTGACCTTCGTATCTGACCTTGTAGTCGACTCCGTGCTTTCCGGCTACGTACTCGACGATTCTTTTCCTGCCGTCGGGTTGGAGGAGTTCGTATTTTCCTTTTACTTCCTTGCCCTTCCTGACTTCCCATTGGTTCTTGATGTCATGATGGTGCAAGTCGTGGACTGCGTAGTCCCAGTGGTAGTGGGGTGGAGCCTAATGAAAGCAGATCGTTAAATTAGAGTTTGATAATTTAAATGGCATGACTGATGATATATCAGTCTATAAAATATTTATGAAGTTGTGAATGCTACGAATATAATACAATCATCATCGTCAAAATCCGTAAATGAAAAGCTTTTTTTAAATGTGCTAAATCATTCTTCTTGAGCATATCTAAAAGGAGGAGTTCAGAAAAAAAATTTTAAGTACAATATTTTCGGAAATAGTTTTAATATGGTTTTTTTTAATTAAGTTAAAAAAATCTCACTCTATAGTCGATGTATTCTTCAACATGATGGTGCCCATGTCCACCGCCACCTCCTCCTAGTCCTTCTAGTTCAAGTCCATGTCCGCCTAACTGGGCTGTAACTGCGGCTACAGCTATGACTAGAAAAACCAGGACCTGAAAATTAAGAGAATATATTTTAACAGTTTAGCACACAAAATCTATATTTTTTGCCAAAATTGCTGAAAACTGTATCCAATTTTTATCTTGTAATGCTACAAGTAAACATGATATTTTGGAAAGATAAATGATAAATGCACCAACCAAATCGCTGCTGCAATTTGCGTTAATAAATAATAAAATTTAAAATTATAATTGAAAAACAAGAATTTTCATTTATTGCTCATGGAAATTGGCAACTGCAGCAAAAATTTAAATAACTGAAGTATACTAAGATTTTGAATGATACTTACAATTTTACCACGCATGATTGTTTAATACCTATGTGTATAAGTTGAGTATTGAGAATTAACTGACAATTATCGGTGATCGAGTGGTATATAAAGTAAAATTTGCGTGAAAGGTTTTGAATAATTTAATTATGTGTTACTCTAATATTACATAAATTAGACCATTTTATTAAAATCGCTTTCATTTGGTACACCAAAGACAATTTTACAGAATTAATAATATTTAATTGGGGTTAATGACAAATTAAGTTAAAATTCTGATAATGCGATAGGTCTTATTAGTAGATATTATTTTATAACTCGTCTCAAATTTTATGTATTTAAATAATTAATAAATTCTATTTTCATTGAGTAAATATTTATTTTTTAAACATACATTATTTATGCCAAAACTAATAAAATTATAATTGGTTCGTAAAAAATAATTTTATAAAAGACCAAACCATTAAAAACAAAACTTTTTTTAATGTGCAAAATAAAATAAATTGGCTCAATCAACCCATGTAAAACTTAAAGTATCGTATCGAACATATTGTTCAAAGCACACTTAAAGTTATTGGTTGCCAAATAATTTTGTAAATACTAATAAATCGTAAATAACTTTTGTTATATAATAGAAAGTACAAAAAAATTAAAATAAAAGTACTTAAAAATATTTTTATTATAATATACAATTTTGATGATTTTTACTGTACTATAATTTTATAGCCTATAGGCTATAAAATTTTACGTAGTACAGTAAAAAATCAAGTATACTTGGTTAAATTTGTTCTTTATGGTTGCAATTTTTAAGTGGTCTCTGTATCCCTTTGTAGTTTGCTAATTAATGTGGTTTACTTATTTAGTTTATTAAAGTCAAAATGTGCCTTAATTTAGTAAATTTTAAAATTGTTGGTATATATTAATCTAAAATATTCGTTTTTTTAATTAATAGAGGATTTTAATCAATCTTTTTGCAAAAACCTAAAAATTTGGGTTAAAATTTGTTGAGTTGATTAAGATTTTTTTAAATCTACAGAATTTACAAAGTTTTAGAAAAAAATTGAAATTTTAAACGTGTTTTAATGATTTAATTTTTTATATAACTTAATTTTTTTTAAATCGTAAAAAAACCCTATCCTTTTTTGTAAATGAATTAGAATAAATTTTACCAAAAATTAGTGCGAAAGTTTTGAATGAGATTCTTTTTATTTTTTCTAAAAAATATGATTTGATTTTAATGCTGCATTTTGGTACATTTAAATAAAAAACAAAAAATTATTATTTTAAAAACGATTCGGTTTTTCATTCTGTGACAATAAATGGTCGCAGAATTTTATTAATTTTTTGGTTGAATTGAATTTGTATCTACAAAATGCAATTGTTTTCAAAATATTGTGCTTTTGTAGAAAAATATGTTTTGTGTTTGTATTTACTAAATTTTAAGGTTTTCTTAATATTTTAATAAAATGGAAATATTTAAAAATATTTCAATAAAAAACATCATGGTTTATAAATTCCAAAAATAAATTATAACTTTTAAACCACAAAACTCGATTTAGATAAACAATAGGCGATGCTCTTTTAAAATTATTGTTATTAATAAACATTGAAAAAAAAATTATTAAAAATATTGATAATGACATAATGATAAAATGACATTAAACTTGAGGTAGCAAAACATATTATAATATTTTAATAATCTGTTAAACTTTTATGGTGATATACGCTTTAGATATCATCAACAAAAAGACACTTTTATGCATTTGAAATACCTATGAGCACATTTTTTGTTGAATTTTTTGTGGTAAATTTTTAGTTTTTAACATATTTTTTTTAGGTATAGAAAAATGGTAAAAAAACGTTAGTAATAATTTTCTTTTCCTTTTTAGAAATCTCAAAAATCGGAAGATATAAAATCAGACGACGAATTCAACACAGCGTCAGATTGCACTTTACAACATTCGCGATCCTCTTCATACAACACAGCCTCAGAATGCGATCAGCAATATGCTCCATGGTGGGAGCACGGGAAAGATGATGTAGACGAAAATGTAAGCAAGGAAAAAATGGTTCTCGCCGTGGGTCTTCCGCAACTTCCGCTGGCCAAAACGGTCCTGAAGCCGTCCCCTGAGGCACCTCCAGGCAAAATTGTGCACGAAGTCATCGAGACCACTCACTTAAAGGTGCAGCATTCGCATACAATGGGCGTGAGGTCTTTTGTACTATCTTCTGAGACAGTTAGGAATAAAAGTGCTGTAGCATCAACTACGAGGGAAGAAATTATAAGGGTCAGGGATGAGGAGGGAAAGGAAGTTGTAATTCCTGTGGAGAAGAATGTGGATGAGGAAGAGTTTAAGAGAAGAATGAAGGAGGTAGGTTGTTTTGAGAATGGAGCTTGGAATTATCATAAAGTTACTAAACAAGCAATTAAAGGATTTATTTAATTTTTTATGCATAATTTTCTTTGTTAGATTAATTATTTTTAAATGTGATTATATTGTGCCAATTACTAAATTTGTTTAGAAACCTTTTAGCAACCAATTTCAGCACACAAGTTCTTTTATTATGTAATTGTAATTACAGAAATTATATTAATTTATACATTTTGCTTAATAAATTTTGACAAATAAAGCAAATAATTGTGCATTTATAATGCTAATTAGAATAAATACTTATTACTTTCATGGTTGCATAGAAGAAAGTGCATATGTTAATTTTTTATCACTTGTCGCTTTTTACTAACAAATCATTTTATTCTGATAGAAAGCTTGCCGCACGTGCATTAGTGTTATATTTGCCTATTCTAAAATTGCATAAATATATGTATCTATTAAAAATGCCAATGTATACCCAGTTTATAATAAGTTTTTATTATTTTGTATTTTTATTGTTTGAAGGAATGTATATCTGGTGTTAATTTTGTTTTTTGTATTTTAATATATGTTTTATTTTATATTGTGTGTTTTCTCCTAACCATGCATGCCTGTTTTTAATATTTGTTTTTCTATAGATACACGTAAATATATTGTCATGTTCTTATAAGAGAGAAACTGATGTTGAAACCTAAAACCTAAAACATAATTATGACCATAAATAACAATCTCTGTTGACATAAAATTGGTATCAAACAATAATTTACCTGTTGCTAAGTAAAAGTGTATATCAACACATGTTAATTAAAAATATCCACATTCGAATATAGCAGAAACTGGGGTAAACTGAAGCTTTGGGGCGTAAAAATATCGCTCCCTTTTATATGAACTATAGTTGTGCTCTTGTACACACATAGTACTAAGTTTATATATTGGAAATTTCTTTAGTGTTTTTTTCACCAATAACTACTAAAAATAAGACCTATCTACAGTGTGTCCACGGATTGATGCTTGAATGGGTCATAATAATCAAAAATTGTGAGGAAACACTAATGTAATTATTATGCTTATAAGCTTAAGCTTAATTAAAACAAGCATAATAAAAATGTTTGCAATAGTATTTAATATAATATTGCGATAGTATTTAATTTAATTAAGGTAGCTTCTACTCACAATTTTTTATTATTACCGTTGCTACAAAAGTTGCCGAGTAACGTAAAATAGCTGAGGTGTAAAAAAAATTAAATTTTATCTTTTGGGGTTTAGCCCTAGAAACTAAACTAATTTTTTTTAATCAAGTCTGCCCTTGAAATATCCAAAAAAATAATTTTTGACATTGATAAAGTAACTTACCTATACAAATATAACAATAAGAAAAGTTGAAAATTTGAAATTTTTAGATAAAAAAAAGTTACCTTTATCTTGAACTATTAAAAATATTTTAAAATATTAAAACAGACAGTCTGTTACGGTATTTTGAACGTCATCAGTGCCGGGCAGCCATGTTTTACTGCTTATAAACCAGCAAAAAAAAGTAACAGCAGTTAAATGAAGGGTAATCAGCTCCATCTACATTCCAAAGGACGTAGCTTATCTATACGTTCAGCAAAAGTCTGCACTATAACACATAGAGGGAAGCAGAGCTGATTCCCAAAGACGAAATTTCAATTTAATTTTGTACACCTATTCAAGCGTTGACACCGTTGACACACTATAAGTTGTACTACTACTACTACTAGGTACTATTCGAATCTACTAAAATTCAACCATGAAGGTATACTGATTCAGTATTACTGAAGTTTACTGATTAATGTTGACTTTTATTTTCAGTTCGCAAATTTAATTTTACATATTTTTATAATAAAAAACGGGTTTAAAACATGATTAATGAAAAAAACAAAGTAATATGAAAAATAGTAAGTTTAGAAAGTTATCGAATATTTTAGAAATTGGTTTTTATATTTTATTTGCAATTTTTAAACAGAAACCACACTATTTTTAAAAGGTTTTTGATGTTCATACTAAATTCAAATTTCATCTTGATTTTCAAATTTTTTGATAAATTCTAGCCCAAAAGTGCAAAAACGCAGTTTAAAAGGTATTTGGAGTTGTATTACATAAAAAACAAGTTACGCCATCTGTACGTGGGACATTCCATAAAAATGCAGATTTGATGAGGAAAATTACAAATTAATGTATATGGTATGGTATGTGCATCTTGTTTTTAAGCAACGACTTTATTTATTATTTATTTATTTGTTATACAAATTAAATTTAAGAACTGTCAATTTGGCAAGCGTCATAACTTAGTCATACTAAAATATATTATATTTTTAAAACATTGCTATGTCAAAAGGTATCATCAAAGCTTAATGTAACGCGAGTTACCACTTTTTGTAGTAGTTTTTAAAACCAAATGTATGAAAAAACATTTTCAATTTCTTTATGTTTAACCTTGATCTATTTTTTTATTTAAGAGTAGTTTCATTGTTATGTATATACGCAGAAATAATAAAAAGTTTATGGAGAGGTAAATCGTATGTCCTTAGGATGTGACCCGGGTGACTGGTGAATTTTATTTTTTTTTAGTCAACCTAAAATTCTATTATTCTATTATGATATTAATTTATATGTTTACGACCATTACAAGTTTTTAAATAAAATTGTTAATGTTTGTTAAACTTTTAGAATTAAGTATTGTCGTTTTACTGCCAAATAATAAATATTTGATTGTAAAGCGAGTCCCACCTACCACTCTTTCTCCTTTTTATTATCTAATATCCTTTCTTTTTTTTTTAAATTATTACATTTTTTTATTTGGGTTTGGGTTAAATTTAATTCAATGCTTTTATAAATGTCAACTAATTAATTTTTTGTAAAAGCAAAAAAAATATTATTTTTTTTTAAAGTAGTTGGAAGGCAGATTCGAATAGGGTCCTTTGTCACAAATCACCACTTTCCTATTAAAATAAGTGTGATTTAACCCGTAAATGGTGTGGGGTTTCCCAAACCCCACCCATTCTAAGAATCTTTACCACGTATTAAATAATGGTGCGAGGCTCGCTACCCCCCGTTGTCAAAAAAGCCCGACATTTTACTTGGTGCACGATATTACGATTTTTGTACGAATTGGGGTTTGCTCCTCACCGGTTTTTTTACTAGAGTTTACTATAAATTTGATTTTGTTAAAACTTTGTTCCTTTTTTTTAACGAATTTAAAATTTTTTTTTCGCTATTTTGTAGTTTTTTTATTCCATATTTTCAGTTTGATTACTTATAGCAATTAAAAATAGGTTTTGAAGTGATTTTGTGGAGTCCCCCAGTAAAATTAAATTATTGCTAAAATTTTAGATTTTTTATTTTTGTTAAAGGTACTCGTATATACGCATTATAATCAATAAAGGTTACCCAAAATAACATAAGGGTTTTTATTTTGATTTCGCAGAATCGCCGTTTTCATTTGGGGTTTGGTAAACCCCACCACACCAGTTATGTAACAAAAAAGTGACCTTAAGGGTTAAGTTAAGTTTTGGTCTACTAAAATTTTCACTTATTTACATTTTCCTTATTAAAAATCCAATTACAAAAAAACACATTTTTATGTATACAAAAATGCACAATTATCACTAAATAATTCATGATGTCCAAAGCGTAGTGTTTTTGATAAATTCAATCCCAAAAATCCAAAAACGCAGTTTATTAGGTATTTGCGGTTATTTTATATAAAAAACTCGTTACACCGTCTTTATCTACCACTCTCTCTCCTTTTTATTATTTAATATCCATTCTTCTCTTCAAAAAATTGTCAAAATTTTTTAGTTGGGTTTGGGTAAAATTAAATTCAACGCTTTTATAAATTTCAACCTTGGAAAAGCGACTAAATATTAAAAACATTTTCAAAGGGTTTTAAAGGGGAAAATTAGTAGATAGGCAGAGTCGGACTGGGGTCCTATGTCCCACGCGGAAATTTACCTTAATTCAAATCACCACTTACCCAGTAAAATAAGTGTAAGTAAGTTTTGGTATACTAAAATGTTTACATTAAATACACTTTCCTTATTAAAAAATAAAATTACAAAAATACACATTTAGACAAAAATGCACAATTATCACTAAATACATAATAATGTATTTATAGATGTTTCAAATACATAAAAGTATATATTTTGATGACAAAAGTATATTTCCAAAAAGAAAGCCGAAAACCAAAAACAATACTAAATATTATAAATACTATCGGTAATATCGAATAGATCACAAATGGTCTTAAGGCTGCGTAGCATTTTATTTCTTACATATCTTAAAACTAAATTCTTATAGGGACTAAAGGGTTTATGTTATAAACTTTATGGTTTATATTTAGGAGCACTTACAAAGTACTAAATAAATATCTATTACGCACTGCGCAGTAGGGATGCGCACATTGTATCGATATTTTAAAAACATCGATTTTTCGTTTTCGATGTTTATATCGATGTTATTTTTATTTGATATTATCGGCTAACATCGATACCTTTTTGCGATTGCGATTTTACAATGTTTTTCTTTTTAAATACATATCCATAGATTTGGTTTACAATCGCTATTTTATTGTTACTGGTAGCACCATCTGTTAATGTATATTTAAAATATAACTTAGTATCATAAAAACATGCTTTAAAGGTGGAAATTGCGAGTTACATAATATGCTTTATCTATGACGAACACAATTGTAACGAATAATTAAAAGCCAATTTTATTTATTAAACATTTGACATCTGTCAACTGTCAACGGATTTAACCTCACTTTTCCACAATTTATAATAAAGCTAAATTCAGCTCATAACTAAAACTATATAAAGTCACAGCTTATCAATGGGGGAGTACCAATATAAAATAAATTATTAACAGAGAAAATTAAAATAGTTAATTTAAGTAAATACTTTGAAACTGTTTTTGAAAAACATGTAAGAGAAAACATAAATAATATTCACATACTACAAATATCATATTTCATATCAAGTCTAGCATCAACTGACCCACATAAATATGTAGGTACTAAGCGGTTAAAAAAAAACAGAAATGCATATTTTTCACATTGCAATGCATTGGTTTAATATTCTTCGTTTAATATATAATTTTTATTGTAAATAAGTAGCTTCAAAATTTAAAATTGTAAATAAGTAGCTTCAAAATTTAAAATTGTGATGGATTATTTCTGTAAGACTCGAATTAAATAAAATAAATAAAAGTTTCCTTGTTTATC